CCGTAGTGGGTGGCGGGGTTCATTGGCATTTTCTCGTGGCAGACTTTCGCTCAGATCGTGAGTAAGCCTATTCTGGTTAAACATTCTCTTGAAATAAAGTACCATATATTCAGACGTATCGCCCTAAAATACTCTTGTCACCTGCGGTGGAGTCTTGCCCTGCACTTATATAGTCCGGATGGAACATATGATCTTCGATAGGTGAAGATGAGTACTACCGTTAGGATAAGACATCCGTATCACGACTGCGATGCAAAAAGACAGAACATCTGAACAAGGCAATGTATCAAAAGCCATTCGCAGAATGCGGAAGCCACCCTCAGAAAGCCGAAGAATATGGCGCCCACATGTTTGCGCTGTACTCAATTTAGACTGTGGCATCTATCGCAATATTGATGTAGTAGTAGAAATTTTAGACCTCAGACTTCTCTTTGAGTACGAAAAAACCACTCTCAGGATAAGAGTCATGCTCGCAGCAGCAGCATCACTTATCCTCCCCCTTCCCCTCCCACCCCAAAATCTTTGGCCCAAAATTATACCATCCATACATCTCCACGCTCGCAATCACACAAAACCCCGTGATCAACCAAAACCGCGCCCGAGGACTAGAAGAAATGTGTCGAAGATTGAATGCCGGGATCTCAATTGGATCTTCTCCTCCTATTTTGTTGCTGTTACCGTTGACGTTGTTGCTGCTGCTGTTGTTCTTGCCCTGCGCAGTACCGCCGGCAGTCCAGGACGGCGATGTGGAGAAGGCTGCGCGCTGGAGCGGACGGCCCCGAAGACCTGCGGGGAGGACGAGAGTCCTTGTTGCGATACGTACTGTAGCCGCTGACATGACTTTGGGCTTTGTTGTTACCGTATTCCTGATTTCAAAAAGAAAAAAAAAATTGAGAATTAAATCTTGTTTACTCTTAGAGGGCTACGCATATATGTATGATGGCGTATCTGATAATACCAATGCTATCTTCATCTATCGCGTTGCGCTCGAAGAGTTTATATTCTCAGTCCGCCGTTATTTACGACCCGAGCGTCTGCCATATTTACGAAGGATGCGCTGGAGTCATCGTAAAACGACATGCCTAAGCGTGAAGGTGGCACACCCCAGCCGACTGCACCCGGGAAAAGTGGAGACGTGTCCGTCAGCTCGGAGGAATATTGTCCTGTCTTATGTCGCGAGGACTTTGGTTTACCCTATTGTGCTTGTATTGAGCCTATCACTTTTGCCCAGTACCTGAGGTAAGGAGTTATGTAATCAAAATGTTCAATGTACATATCTAGATTTCTTCTATCATCATGTTACGAGGTATGCCCAGCCAACACCTGAGCAACGCCGTGCCCACAGCAAACGCCGCAAAAGTCCAAGCAAGAAGCCATGACCATACCCTCATGATCTATTAATCGTCAACGGCTTGAAGGGCTTCCTCAGCCGGTCTATCGGTGCAAGGCCTCCTTCCTTCTTTAACGCCGCCGGCCGCTTGAATCCCCCAAAGCCATTCGTAGTCGTGGTCGTATGTAAGCAGCTCGCCGGCCGTTCCCGGACCGGCGGTGGCTCGTTCATGTCTTGATTCTCCTTTTCAGGAGACTTCGCTCGAGGCGGGGAGCTCGAGAAGTTTGTATAGTGTTTCTTTGGCCCCGCGGTGCCCTCGAAAGCTGGTCTTACTGGTTTGACGGGCATTCTCCCCTGTCCGAGTCGGTGACCGCTGAGGCCCGGCTCAATGGCATTCGCAGGGCGCTGCGCTTGGTGCAAGTCTGGCAACTCTGGAAGCTCTTGAGCAATCGATCGTGGCTCGGGAGCTGCTGGACGATGTGTTGAGGGATAGGATGTATGCGATAAATCGGATTTGGTCCTCTTGACGAAACCCAGAAGACTCCGCTGATCAGCCGGCCGCTTCGACGTTCCCTTTCTGGGCGCGGCGGACTTCTGAGGTCCAGAGTCGTTTTGCTGAGCGGATGCGGCCATCTCCCTTGCAGCAGCCAGCATCTCCCGTGCCGCGCTTGCAGTCGTAAAGCCTGGCAGAGTGAAGTTGGAAGCACTGTTCATTGTTGTAGAAGTGTGCCAGGTGGGTATCGGCTGGGAATCGCCCTCTTCTGATGCTGAAGTTGCCTGTGCCCGAGGGCGTCTCTGTGCCCAGGGCATGTTCCTCCCACTCGCGCCCCTTTCGCCGAAAGAGTCTTCCGGATCTTCGGGCCATAAGTTGTCCTCGGGCCGTTCCATGGGCGGCAGTTCCTTGTACACCTTGTCTTGTGTTGGCACAACTTTCTCTCTTCCAAGAATGCGCCCCATCTCCTGAAGGATCCCAGGCTCAAAGGACGGACCTGTTTTCCTAAAATACGGATGAATCTCTGATGGGATAAAAGGCGATAGCTCAGTACGCTCGCCACCGTTTCCTCCATTCTGCGAGCTGTACATTGGGCAACTGAGGTAGAGGAGTGTCTGCGCACGTGTCATGGCCACATAAAGTAGCCGACGTTCCTCGTCGAGATCCTCTGACCTCGAGTGTGGAATGGATCCATTGTACACTGCTGGTACAAAGACGATGGGCCATTCAAGACCCTTAGCTGCGTGAATAGTTGAGATGGTCACATTCGGCTTGTTCTCCGCATCTCCCTTTTGCTGCGCATCCGACGCTAAGGAGACGTTTGCCAAGAAACGGCCCAAGGCGTCATTTTCTTGCACCTGCTGGACTCCATCGATCACTGGAAGACGATCCTCCTCAGCTGTGGCGTTCAAGTCTCGCATAAAATCGCCCGCCAGACTGATGAATTCCTGAACGTTGGCCCATCGCGTCTCATGCTCTTCGGGGTAGTTCTCCTGAAGGTATCTCTGGAAGTTGAGCTGTGAAAGCAGATTCTGGATAAGGTCGACCAAGTGGTAGTATGGACTCCCGGTTGGAGGCTCTTCAATCTTCCTTCTGATCCCAGAAATCAGTCTCAGAAGCTCTGCGCTAATCTTTTGCTCCATGGCCTTCTTGATATTCGTCTTTGCCTGGCGCTCTCCCCGGCAATGCTTATTTAGCACCACCCAAACACTGAGCTTGGAGCTCTCGGCTTCCTCAAGAAGGGACTTTATAGTTGTGTCTCCAACGCCGCGGCGGGGAACATTGATGATGCGGGCCACTGCATCATTGTTGTCGGGCTGGTGAATGACACGCAGGTAGTCAAGAATCACCTTAACCTCAGCGCGGTCGTAGAACTTGAATCCGCCAACCATTTTGTATGCAATGCCTGCTTTTCCTAGAGAGGATTCGACGTGCCTAGAAAGCGATGCCGACCGTAGGAGAATGGCCACATCATCGTAGGTCAGCATCTTGCCGGCCATCAGCAAGGCTCTCTTGAGTTCAGACACAATCCATTCGGCTTCCACGGCTGAAGACTTTAGTCTCCGGAGAACCGGTCGTGTGCCTTTGTTGTGGATAGGTAACAGGACCTTTTGGTAACGCTTCTTGTCTTGCTGGATAACCTTCAGGGAGACATCCAGGATTGCTTGGGACGAGCGGTAGTTTTCCTCCAGGGAGATCTCGTCCGCTTTGGGATAGTCCTTTAGCAGACGGTACAAGTTCTTGATCTCGGCGGAACGCCAGCCGTAGATGCTCTGGTCCGGATCTCCCACAATGGTTATTCGTTCTCGTGCCTGAGCAAACAGCCTCATGAGTTCGTACTGAATGCCATTGGTGTCTTGGTACTCGTCAATGAGTACAGCCTGGACGTTGGCAACGCAAGAAGGGTGCTTTCGAAGTAGCTCCACACACTTAGTCAACAAATCGTCGTAGTCCAGCAGATTCGACCGTTCGAGATGGCTTTGGTACTCGCGAAAGCATGTTTCCAAATCGCGATTCTCGGGTACTGGTTTGCCGTTCCGCTTTACTGGTGCCTGATTGTCACCCCTAGCCTTCTTCTTGCTGATCCATGATCTTGCAGCAGGAGGATCGACTGATAGCTGTAATCGTTTGCAAATCCTCTGGATGACGGCTCTCGAGTCTCCATCGTCGGCAATGGCGAACTTTTCATCAAGCCCTATACGCTTGCCATAGGCAGCCAGGTAGCGGCGAGCAATACTGTGAAATGTGCCGAGAACAATCTTCTTCCCGCGGTCATCTCCAAGGGCCTTGCAGATGCGCTCCTTCATCTCCCGTGCGGACTTGACCGTGAAAGTGGCGACAATCATGTCAGTGGGCGCGTATCCAACATTGTCCACAAGCCAAACGACACGAGATGTCAAGGTGTGCGTCTTGCCACTTCCAGGGCCAGCCAGGATGGCGACGGTGGCATTCTTGGACGTGACGGCGCGACATTGTGCTGGATTCAATGTCGCAAGGATGGATTCGGCCGGGCCTGGGGCCGAACTTGACGAATTCATTGTCGTAAGGCGATCATTGGCAGGAAAGGGAAGTGAATTGCAAATATTGGTATACAGAATGCTGTCCAACAGTGAATGCTCCGCTCGATTAACGCCTCCCGATGAAGAGGGTCGCGTCTCAGGGCTCAGTTGACGCGTCTGGCGGTTGCTTGATTGTGGCACCAGCACCCAGGTCAATATCGCGGTACCTGTGTACCCGGCACGACATCAGGTGATCCCTCACGTGGGTGGAGGCCCCTGCCAAGGATACCTCGCCACGCACGTGCATCCGCAGATCCGCAAACCTCCGCGACCCACCTGCAGCTCGCACTGAAGCAGCAGGGGAACACTCCCATACCGGACCGCTAAACTCTCGTTGATGGCTTCTTTGTTCTTACGACTCAACTCATGAATTCAAAGTCACCCACTGAGACATGAACCACGAATCCCACCCAGCCACTGGGTGACCCGACGATTCAGTTTGGCTTCTTCCGTTGCTTCGATGCTCTCCAAGCGCCCAGGCAAAAGAAGCCCTATTGCGGCAATCATGGGCGAGTTTCAATAGGCGGTGCAGTCACACCTCGGATCCGGATGCATTCGCCGATGGTTTGTCGGTTGAGCTCCGCGGGGTGAACACCACAGTCCCCTTCCTCTAGAGTCTATGCCAAAACCATTATGCGTGGCTCTGATTCGACAAGCTGGCTCTTGTTTCTTCGATCAACAGTCCCATCCCGCCGTTTCCATCACACCCAGACGTGCCAGACCGGCAACGACCGGCTGGAAGGGTGTAAGGGACCACGGAACGCTCCACTGGGCAAAGCGAATAAGCATCGCTCGGACAAAGTCTGTTTTCCTCATTGTTGCTTTGATGACTCGCGAAGGGTTGTTGTCTACCCGCCGAAAGCGAACGGACATTCACCCGTGCTCGCCCAAGGTTTTCCCCTCCGTCGTGGATGAGAAACAGGAGCAACTCAACTCAACGGCACGAACGGGCAGAGACAAAGTCAACGTTCCATCGGTTGATGTCGCTCGATGGCAGAAGAGCAGCGTCGGTCCTATCACGGTGATGAAGTTACGATCATCACGCTTTAATGCTGTCCGCAATGTGAAGTCACACTTGGGCAGAGATCCCATTCGAGGACGCCTGTGATGCGATGCTCCAGAGGGCAAGGCCAGTGCAATAACGTTGTGCCCTATTGCAGCAGCTCATGCGGTCAGAACGAGATAGTGATGGGGCCAATGCAGGGATGGCCTTCCCGCTGCCGGGACTTGGGCCTGGAATTGGGGGACTGGATTCGCTTTGCATGTGTCCCCTTGGACAGTCGAGACTGAAGAGACGTGAGAGACAGGATGAGAAGCGAGGACGACAGGCGGAACCACCTGAACAGCTGACCTGGGAACCGCTCCTCTTTTTTCACCACTGTTCACGACAGACCACGGTGATTCCGACTCTCAATGGTCAACCAGTTTGGGGCCATGGCAGGGCATGGCAGGACATGGTTTATTGCCCTGCGAGGACGAATTGAGTTGCCAGAGTTCTTGTTGAATGACAATGAAGGGTGGCACGGCGCGGGGTTGGATCAACTTGGATGTGACGGAGCAATCCAATCATGCCCCCGGCAGCCATCCTCGGCGCTTACGCCCCCTGCCATCACGTCGATCCGTCCAACCACATCTCGGGAAGCCCTTGATGCTCCCGCCTCCTCTGCAGACGACATTAATAGCCACGAGCCATTTTGGGCGCTATTTTATCGTCGCCATCATGCGAGTGCGACCGCTTCGCAGGCGTCGTGCCTGGGTGTTCAGCAAGTCAGAGTCCAGAGCACACGGTCAGCGCCAATCTCGACGCACTGCCGAACTTCACCAGCCGCTATATACCCTTTGTACGCCGCATATCCGTGCCTTTCCATGTAACTTCTCCATCACAATGTGTTTCGGACCCTCCTCCAGGAGGTAAGATCATCAAAGCTGGATTTGACTTTTAAAAAGAGTTGCGGTGTCCTCACCACCTCACCATGAAACCCGTCCAAGCCCTTCTTAACTCGTGTCCTCGACTTCACTTCTTGACCTTCGTTCTTTACTTCTTCTTTTGCAGCAGCCACATCACACTTGCAGCCCCGTCACCGTCTGTCCTGGAGACTCGCAGCAATAACAACCCGTTGAACATTGATTGGGATCCCGCACCATCACCAGAGGACGGACCGCCTGCATCTGCAAACGCTCTCAGAGACCCTGCATATCTCCCTTACCAGATCGGCGCCATCGTCGGTTCCTACGGAGTATCATTGGTGCTGGTCGCCGGTTTGTTGCTCGTACTATCGAAAAGACGTCGTGAGGCCCTCACTGCCGGTGACGACGAGGTGAACTTTGAGGGTGGACTTGAAGAGCCACTCGACGATCCAAAGTCACCCCCGAAACTCACCCTTGAGGTGCCGAGTTCGCCCAGGAGCATTCCCCGGAGCCCCGTCCGCAACTTTTCGTATCCCGGTGCCGAGGAATACCAGACGTCGGAATATCCAACTCCCCAGACCCCTTACGTCAACCCAACACCAACGTCGACGCTTCAGGCGCCCGGAATAGACTTTACCGTGGACCAGAGAATCGTCGCCAAAGATAAGAAAATGGCGCAAACGCAACTTGAGGAGATGTACAAGTACGTGATGGAGCAGGAGGAGGCCAAACTTCAGGGCATCAAGCTGGAAGGGTCACCGGTACTTTCGGCCAACCCTCAGCTACCAACGCCGACGAATGCCAGCTTTAGCAAGTCGTCCCTGAGGAAGGAAAAGCACAAGCCAGGCAACCTGAACTTGGCAGAGGAGAAGCCAGAGAAGAAGCAGTCGAGAGCTTCATCCATCTTCTCGGCGCTGCGTTCTCCTAAGAAAGACAAGAACGTCCGGGGTATCAGCATTTCGTCACCCATCATGACACCCATGACGGGAACTTTCCCGAGACAGGAGGCGCAAGAGATGAACGCCATACCGCCGCGGCAGTACGCACCGCCCCCGCCCCCTCCGGTGCCCATGAGCCAGATGCAGATGCCGTACGGAGTACACCAGCACAACGGCCAGGTATCACCCGTCAGCCCTGACCACTCCCCGGAGAGCACCCAGAGCATCGACGAGCGGATCGGCGGCCAGATCCCCATCGGTCATGTCCGCAAGCCGTCTGCGGCGCCCTCCGAAATGGACCCCAACTCCGCCGTCTCGGAGCGATCGACCGCGCCGCTCATCGGGCTCCCGCAATCCCCGAAGCCGGGCGCCCGATTCAGCTCCACCCTACCCTCGTCTCCGAAGCCGGGATCCTCGTTCCAGCTCCCCGCCTCGCCCCTGCCAGGAGCCGGGTTCCGGTCCAAGGCCCCTTCGGCAGTCCGCACTGGCGGATCCCTGCCTCTGCGCGCGTACGAGCCTGCTCTGAGCTCACCGTCGCTGGCTTCGCAGACCACCAAACAGACCGTGTTCACGCGCACGGGACCTTTGTCGCCGTCGGGAGCACGTACGCCGGCTACTGGCATGGCGGTGCCGTACTCGCCTTACCAGCCTTTCACGCCCTGCGTGCCCATGACGCCGTCCCTCATCACCAAGGCTGACCGGAAGAGGATGAAGAAGCTGGAGCCTAAGACACCAACGTTGGAGATGGTCAGGAGTGATGATGACATCTGGTAAACAGAGGGTTGTCGGGCAGGTTTCCGGGAAGTTAGAAAAGGAGAGTACGGACAGGGGGCAAAATACCCATATAGACTGTGGACAATGCAAAGCAGGGCCTGGCGGGCGACCGTAGGGTAATGTCATGATGAAATGTTCTTTTCCCCTTTTTGTAAATGGGATGAAGGAGAGGGGAATCAGAGAGAGAAGAGAGGATGAGGAAGAGAGAGACGTTTCTTGGCGTTGTCTCCTAATTGGATCTTAGTTTTCTTTCATCGGATTTCTATCGCACATACGCAAAATACCATTTTACATAGCAAGAAAGGGAAAGATGAGGGGTTCCGGTTCAATGATCAGAGTTTATGACAAGAGTCAGTACGCGCAGGACAGAGGGAAGACGATCTGTCATGCCCTCCTCTCTGGAACGAGACGATCCACGGATAGCACCCAGGTATTTAATGATTAAGTTTTTATTTTCTGCCCTCCTTCTTCGCTCGCATTCTGCAATGCTGCAGTATGCAATTCAGGGTTCGTGCCATGCGTGTCAAGGACGAATAGGCGTTTCAGATGGTCCAGACGGAGGGTTGAGGGATTGTCTCTAGTGTCTCGGATGAGGGAGGGGTAATAAGTAGTACTCGATTGGTTCAGTCACAGTGAGAGATGAGGGAGCCAAAGAGAGTCTGTTGATCGGCAGGCAGATGGTAGGCACACTAAAGGCTAACTGATGGCTGTCAACGTCACCAGTGAGGGGGACAGATACTGTTCAGACTTTGAGCAGTTTTGCTGGGTCTTTGGGAGTTGCTAAAGACGTTGAAGCACGAGGTCCAACGGGCCGGAGGGATGGTTAGAGGCCAAGATCAAGCACCCGCCAAGCGTGTTTGCGGGGTGCGTGGGTGGGATGCTTGGCCTTTCTGCATTCTTGGTGATGTTGTGGCAGGCTCAAGCAGGGTGAGTCGCAGCCATGCTCCATTGTGAGACACTCGCTGAGGCGCTGGATGAGAATCAGAAGGACGAGGTGTGCAAGGTGTATTGTGTGTGTAATGGACGGGGTAGGGGACTGAGTGTGGGCACTGAGCGTGAGCAGCAGAGACAGGCACACACGCACATTGGTAGAGACGGGCGAAGACACCTCACGGTCCACGAGTCGAGGACACGGCCCTGGTCTGGAAAAGAAGCATGAAGCACCAAAACGACCGTGACGAGCGCGCGCGCGCTTGCGAGGGGGAGATAAGAGGCATATCCGGACACGAGAAACACAGCTGGAAATTTGAAAGAGCGCAAGAGAAGGAGGAAAGCGAGGAGAGACAGAAACCGAGGCGCCACCGGTGAGCAAGGTGATTGATAGTGGAAAAGCCACAGCTGCTTTCAGCCTTTCAGCACCGGAGATATTGGAACTAGCGAGCTCTACTAGCTTACGGCTGATGTCTCTCTCGAGTCTTAATCTAGTGAGGGCCGCTGGGGGGCGAAGTCTTCTTTTCCGTTTCTTTCTTCAGGTGTCTTGCAGGTTTTTGTGATCCGGCGACCCAGCGCTACGGCGAGCGCCGGTGAGTCTTGGCTCATCGAGGGTCGAGGTACGGATACTTTAAAGATCAATAGCAACTGAAGAGAAACGGGGGCATCGCAAATGAAAAGTGTGGAGACGTAAAAAGGCTAGGGCAGAAAAATGCCCGTCGTCATCATGGGACACCCATCGAGCTGAGCTGGAGTATGAGCGGTGATCCTGGCTGGCTGGTGTTTGTGACGAGGAGGAGCTGAGCAACTTGAGATCCCTACGAGTACGGATTCAGGCAAGAAGCGATGAGCAATGAGACTTTTACATGGAAACGGGACGGATTTGTGAGCAGCGCTTGCAGTATCTACCTACTCGCAGTCCGCATTGGAATTCCATAGGAGTTCAAGATTCGGTATCAAGCGATAGTTTCGGTCCGTAACCGTAGACAGCATGTGGAAGCGTTGGGCTACCAAGGCGTTCCCGGCTCGCGGGTGGCCCCCTCTCATCCGAAGGGTGAACTCTCACACACTTCTCTCACTCTTGACTTGCCCGTCATGCCTTTTTGCCAGTTTCTACGCGTGCCACGGCGCAGTGTTGCTTGGCGGTAAGTGGCGTTTCTGGAGTGGGGAAGCCTGGAAGATGAGCGATGCGTACCTATGGTGAGTGAGCAAGTGAGCAAGTGAGATTGTGTGTGAGAGGAGGGTGAAAGACGCTTGCCACTGTGAGAGTTAGAGAGGGCGGCCGGCGCGGTGTTCCTGGTCCCCCGGGGCTCCATGACCAGGCCCATCCGGCATCTCCCAGCGCTGATCCAAGACTCAGAACTGCCCTTTGCCAGACTTTTGGCGTCCCACATCGTTGCGATCGAGACTGTGAGACTTGCGAGTGTGAGTTCTTTGCTCATCTGTCTTCCCTGGCCTGGCCTGGCCTGGCACGCTTGGATGAGCACCTAGGTATTGAGTGATGCCCAAGGTAAGGTCGGTACCTGAAGGGGAGTCAGGGCAGGCGGGCGAGCGGGCAGACGGGAGGAAGGTATCGTCTCATATTAGACAAGGTGTGAGGATACGTACCTGCTGTCAAAGTGCGAGTGGACCTTCCCCGAATTGCCAGCCGGCGGGATCATTGCCGGCAGCCGTCAGTATCGAGAGTTGGGAGGACTTTCCCTTAATAATTCATGAAGCAGATGGTGCAGACCTGGCAGGAAGGAAGTGTTGGCAGCAGCATCCAGGGTTTGTAGGGCAGCGAAGCAGGGACGAGTCGGCGGCGGCAGTACATACGTAGGTACATTTGATGGTGGTCAACCCAAATGTGGGAAGGAGTTGGTACGGACAGCGGGCGGGCTACGGGTCGTAGAAGGTGCCTAGGACTGGTCCTTCCTGCGTCGAGTCTAAGGGTAGGTACGATCCACGGCTGATTGGTGGCAGCCTGTAGGAACTGAGGAAAGCACCAAGGTATGGAGTAGGTACTTGGTGCGAATACGTACCTGACGAGATGGATCATTGGCAAGGACGGGCAGGGACGGGTGGTGGTCTGGGCTCCTGCGGTCTCTGGGCTCATATCAGGCGTAGTTTCTAGATAATCGTACGATGCTCCCCCGTTCCCTTCCCTCTCCCCTTCTCTGCTTCCCTCTTTCGCTCTCCCTCGACCCTCCCACCCGATTTCGATTTCGATTTCGATTCCCGATTGCCTGCCCTCCACCCATTGACTGGCACTGCCAAACCGCAATTGAGCATCTCGAATTCTTCGTCAGGATATCCGTACAGACCAAGAAAAAGTACGACTCCAGAATAATCTCTCTGCACTGCACGTTGAATGTGCATGCATCGGAAAGGAACATCAAGCAACCACAGAGTTCCCCGACACGCACAACTTGACATCCCCGCCCCTCTTTCTCTTCCCTCCCTCGACGCTCGACCTGCAGTCTGGCCCTGAGAGCAGTGGCCCACCCCCAGCAAGTCCCGTCAATTCGCTGCGTCGCATCCGTGAGAGGAAAAATAAGGCGCCGCAAAACCAGACCAGCGTCATACGACTTCGACCCTCTCGCTTGTTTTCCCTCTGGGTCTCTCCGTTCTGCCTCCCGGCTGACACCACTCCTCCATCCCCATCTGTCCATCGCCTTCTGCCGACAGTCGTACGACCAGACATTCTTCCCGCTCAGCACCACGCCGCTGATTGCCGTCAATTGCTCTCGCATTCCCGATACCTCACTCCCTCACCCTGCGGCCTCGTCCACCGCTCCCGTCGCTGCTCGCCGGCCACTCACATCGAGTCCCGCTCTAGATTCCGGGACCTGGCCCCCATTCCCAGCGCCGAGCGCACCCAAAGAATCCCAGGCCCGTCCCGACTTCGATGAATTGAGCATCAGCCCATAAGTGCATATTTTGACCGCTCTGCAACATGGCGGACCAGGATCCCAACGCCTTATTTGGCCTCGACGACTCGAACCTCGGCGTGCCCCCGTCGTTCCTCGACGACTCGGACGGCCAGAACGTCAAATCCGACCGAACAGGATCCAGCATCGCCAACGACAATCAGGTCTACTACGACGCAAACAATTGGTCCTTTCAGGACACACCCCCGTACGACACCTACAACATCGCTGCCGTCACCACCGCCGCTGGCGCCACTCCTCTCTTCCAGACTGCCGCTCCGTGGGATTTCTCTCCGAATAACCAACACCATCAACACGGCCCTCCCGCCGTCACCTCCGGTCTTGATCACTCAACTCTCGCCCAGGCTGGCTTCTATGCCGCTCCCCCTCCCGCCCCCAACAACCAGCAATCCCATCGAGGAGGCCAACCACACACCCTCCCGCAAGAGACCCTGAGTACCCTGACTCCCGCCCAACAGGAAAAGCTCAGAAATATCGCCATGCCCGCCCATCTGCAGTATCAATCTCCCAAGAGCGAGCCGAGCCCCGGATCCGCCACCAGCGATCACAAGGCAGCAGGACTGTCGTCTCCCGATGCCCACGACTCCAGCAAGGCCAGCAGGAAGCGCAAGTCTTCGGCTGATGTCGACGACGATGAGGAGGAGGATGAGGACGGCCAGCCTATCAAGAAGACGGCCCATAACATGATTGAGAAGAGGTATCGCACCAATCTCAACGATAAGATTGCCGCGCTTCGAGATAGCGTTCCTAGTCTGAGGATCATGTCCAAGAGTGCCAGGGGAGAAGACACCACCGAAGATCGCGAGGAACTTCACGGCTTGACGCCAGCCCACAAGCTCAACAAGGCTACAGTAAGTCGTCAGGATGAAGCGTTCTGACAAGACAAGTAACTGACAATCGCAGGTTTTGAGCAAGGCCACCGAGTACATTCGCCATTTGGAGAAGAGGAATAACCGTCTCTGCGACGAAAACCATGCCATGCAGAACAGAATCGCCGCCTTTGAGAAGCTTTTCATGGCTGGCGCGATGAATGGTGCCATGAGCCCTCTCCAGCAACCGCCGACTCCCATGCAGTACCCCCAGGATCAGTACATGAGCACCCCTATCGGAACGCCGCGTGGCGAGTCTGCACAGGGCATGATTCCTGTGCCTGACGACATGAAGCGTATCATTTCTGCTCAAATGGCGGCCGGCCAACCTTACCCCATGCCACAGCAAAACTACCGCGGAAACCCCAACGTCATGCGACAACAACAGATCCAGCAACAGCAGCAGCAGCAACAGATGCAGCAACAAGGACGATGGGGCAACAGCAGTCAGTACTTCGGCAAGCTGATGGTCGGCTCGCTGGCCGGCCTCATGATTGTCGAGGCTGTGCGAGAGAACGAGCAGAGCAACGACACGCCCGAAGGCCGCGGTCTCTTCGCCCTGCCCATCCAACTGCTCAGCTATCTCGGATCGACTTCTCACATGCACATTGGCGGCTACTACATCTCTCCTGCCCAGATCATCTCGCATCTGAAACTTTTGTTTTTCCTTGGCACTTGCTTGTGGGTCTTTGTGCCCTCGCTCTTCGTTCCATCTGAGGGGAAGCCCAAGAAGGCGCAACGTCTTCGGGAGTCGCTTCAGGCCGCTGGTTCCGTTGCATCCCCAATTCACGTCCGTCGCCAAGCTTGGTTGACTGCAATTCAGACCGTCTGGGTTCCTCAGCACAACTTCTTCCTCGAAGCTGCCGCTCTAATCATGAAGACGATGAAGTTAAGCATGCGCAACGCTATCGGTGTCCACGGCTACCAAATGCTCACCGGTCTCACTGAAGAGCAGGAGGCTGCTCGTGTCAAGGCTTGGTCAATTGCGTTGGATGCCCAGCTTGCAGGAGGCGACGTTGAGATCAACAAGAGCCGACTGACCCTTACCCTCCTGGCATCAGGCACCCTTCCCGATACCCCTTCCCGACTGATGCTCAAGGCTCTTCACGTCCGTGTCCTTCTTTGGGATCTTGGTGCCAAGGGACTTCACAATATCGTTGCCAAGAAGGTCGCCCGCTCCCTCTGGAACGAGGCGAGAAACCAGAACCGTGTTCTTTCGCAGCTGCGCCGTAACTCTGAGCAGGTCGATGATGATCTCCCCGAGCATCTGGCTGCCCTCATCGAGCAAGAATGCGACGACGTGCTCAACAACAGCGTTGTCCAGCGGGCCTACAACCTGGCGTGGAACTTGTCGACTACCGAGGGAGTTACCGAGCACAACGACGGAATGGACACCGTTGTCGACGACCAGGCTGTCCGATCCCCACTGGATGCTGTTGCTGCCTGGTGGTCGAGCCAGACCATTCAGCGTGCCTTGATCACCAGTCTCGAGGCAAGCAAGGATGATGGTGATGCCCCGAGGGTAGTGTCAACCTGCTTGACCACCGCCCTCAAGACAGCTCCTATCGGCTCCGGTGTGCAGGCACGCGCTCTTGTGGCCCGCGCCGTGCTTGTTGACGAGAAGCGAGGAGCCAACATTGCCGCCGCTCTCCAGAACATCAAGCCGACCAGCGAACAAAAGTCCCTCAGCAAGATTGCCGCCATCATCGACTCGTCGTCTACCGCCCAATCGCCCGATGTCCAGATGGCGCTCGACTGTGCTATGGCTATTGCCCACCTTCAACGTGCCAAGCTGGCCGCCACCCCATCACAAAAGGGATTCGGAATTATCGAGAAGATCGCCCGCCCCAGCGCTACCGCCAACATGTCTCTCCTTGGATGCACCGCTCTCTTCAAGCTTATGGAAGAACTATACGCACAACAGTCGTCTTCTGACAACTTCAGCACGTCTCTTGAGCGCGTCGCCGGCAGTCTCCGTATCTGGATCGGCAGCGCTCCTGGCGAAAAGTGTGGTCTCGAGCAGGACGTCCGTCACAAAATGGTGGACCGCTGCCTCAGCATCACTAAAAGTGTTGTCGGCATGGAGACCGACACGGGCTACGGTAGTATGAGCGAGTGTGAAGAAGATGGGTGCTGAGGGAGGTGTATGTGTTGTGGTATATTCAGAGGCGGTATCTCCCCTTATTTACATACTTAGTAGATGCATCTTATTTCCTTTATATTGTTGTACTTTCTATGGATAGGGCAAAGGGCTCGGCGTCACTATTGGGGAGGACGTATGTCTTGGACTGGCGTTACTTTGCAAGGGAAGCAACGAGACTTACGGCTGGAAAAGGATGGAACCAGCGGATTTTGCATGAGCAGAGACGGGACGTCGCATCTGACTGAGATTGAACTCTCGCGCGGACTGTCACGGAATGGGACAGAACAAGGAGACGGACGGTGTGGTTTGGGGATATATACAAGTCGGCTCAAAAAGTTGCGATGGAAAACTTTCTCTTTCTCTATAATATGCGGGCTAAGGGGCCTGCCATTATGTAGAATCAATATCGACGATTTTTCGTTGCATACAAAACTGATATGTTATCTGGAGTTTGTACGTGGGCGACGGTGAGCTGCAGCGGGGGGAGGGAGGACACCCTGGAGCTTTGCCCCATTCCAGTCAGCTGTCTCCGTGAGGGTTGCAACGAGGGGTATGTCACTCCGTCATGGAGGGCACAGGCGACTTTCCTCTTTCAATAGGACGTGTTGTTACTACGCTCTGCTCAAGTCATCGAGCATCGAGATAACCAGAGGGTTTGATGAGAAGTTGAAAGGAAAGCATACGATGTCTGGTGTTTTGAAGACGACACTGACGTTGATGGTGTTTTTCAGGACCATATGGAAAGACTATGGATGGGACTGGGCAGTGTTTAAGAGGAGACGCTGGGGTGAGGGCAAGGACTCGAAGAGAGATGCATCATATGGTAAGGGATGAGATGGGCCGAATTGGATGGAGAATCAGTATGGAGTAAGTACTCTCTCTGCATTCGCACACCTTTGAGCAAGGTAATTCGGAAGGCCGAGTACATCGAAGTGCTGCAAGTTTATCGGCGTCTCTCGGTGCGGCAGTCGAGGGAATGAATCCGCTTTTTGCTCCCTTAGGCACACGGCAAGGGCCCTGGGCTTCAAGTGATCGTGGGTACTTTAGGTACGTCTCCACCTTTCAAAGGTGCATGAGACCGGGACCCCCCAACCCGGCCAAAGATACCGGCACGTTAAACACGACAACAACACACTGCACACTGCACAGGATGGACCTTGGCACCCACCACACACCTCACGCTTTCAACAAGGGACGGATGTCTAAGGGAGGGGAGATGGACAGTCACACATTTCGACCTGCACTAGACACACTAGAGACTGCTAGCAGCAACGGTCGCTAGACTTATCGGATCCGAACCGTCAAACCCAACGTCCGTCCGTCCTTTTCCTTGTCCCGCCCGGCACATGATCGCCTGAATGGGAACGGCGACAGGGCCTTTTGCCAGGTTATCGAGGGAGGTTACAGCAATGGCCTGCTGGAACGGGTCTCGAGTGCCGCCCGACATGTGAGTTGTTATCAGTCCCTTGAAGAATACGCATAGCAAATGAATATCTGACTCCCATGTCTATCAGTCTATCTACAATATCATGACGCGGTTAGCAGCAATATTGGACTGCCAAGTCATCCCTCGCTTCTGATTCATCTCGATATCAAAGCTACCTTATCATCCCAATTTCAGCATACCCTGAGGCTGAATTCAATAACGAAGCCCAAAGCACTGACAAGTGCCAAAGCTGGGGAAATGTCTTGGAGGCGGGTGCTTAGTCCTGTGGTTTGCCACGAGCTGGGCGCTTGTTCGAGCGAAGTATCTGCGAACACCCCCGACAACCTAGCTCGCGCTTCTCATCCTCCCTCTCAGCATCAAATCGGAGCCCATCCTGCCGAGGGGAATACGCCCTCCCTCGCGGTCATCGCCCTCCAAAACTCCAAAAAGCTAGCACTGGCCTGCCCAATGGCGATAGCAACTGACCCCAAATTGCAACTCCCCGCATCCTGATGGCAACCACACCACAATCTCTAAATCCAATCAGATACCGACATCACCGGGCGCCATGTGACGCAAGATTGCATCTGGCAAGGGCGAATGCTCATCTCTCAGACTGGCTCGTCACTTTCTCTAGAGACGCGAGAGTTGACCGCTTGCTGCCTCGCGTGCCTCGCTCCCTTCGCCGGGCCCCTCAGGCCTTCTCTTGCCCTCTCCGGTCTCTCTAGTTCGCTTCTCTGCCCTGATTTTCCATCGAGAATCGAGTATTCATGCCCCCCCCCCCTGGTCTCCTCACTTGGGAATACCACCTGCCAGCTATCCAATGTTGCGCAGCCCTTCAGGAGACACGGACAAATCATCGCGTCCAAACCATCGGCATACTTTCCCCTTCCCGTAGGACCGGCATTATGATGGCCAGGTACCCGTCCTGTTTGTTAGTCAGAAGCTCGGCTAGCTCACAGGAGCTCCAAAGAACATGGAGGGGAAGACGATGTCCACGAGCCACGAGCTCGTCGAGGCGGGCCATAAAAGAGAGGGTGACACGCCATGTTTGCCCGCAGTTCTCGAGCTTGGAAGCTTGAGTTCACAGACTGATTGCCCACGATGCCTCGTCACTCTCGTTCTGGCCTCGAGATGCCTAGACGCTCGTTCTTCGCCGTCTTTGCTTTGATTTCGTTCGTGCTGCTCGTCACCATCAGTCTCTCCCAGCTAGGAACCCGACAAGGTGCCACCCTCAAGTTTGAACGCAATGCCGACGGAGAGTGGCATGCCAAACCCAAGACGCGTGCCGCGGCGGGCGACAAGTACCTCCTTGGTGTTGGCAAGGCTGACATCACCGGCCCTGTCGTCGAGATTGGCTTTGCAGGGTACGCTGATCTGAGCCAGGTTGGAACCGGCTTGAGACAGCGGATCTACAGCCGTGCTTTCATTGTCGGGGATGTGAGCAAGCCGAGCGATCGCTTCGTCTATCTTGTGCTAGATACTCAGAGTGGTGACACGGCCGTTCGCAAGGGCATCCTCGAGGGTGTTGCAGCTCTTGGTTCGGGATACTCCGTGTATAACAAGAACAACGTTGCCGTGACCGGTACTCATAGCCACGCTGGCCCAGGAGCTTGGTTTAACTACCTCCTGCCGCAGGTCACCAGCTTGGGTTTCGACAAGCAGAGCTACCAGGCTATTGTTGACGGTGCAGTTCTCTCCATCAAGAGGGCACACGAGTCTCTACAAGAGGTACGCTGGTCATCTTCGAGAGACTCGCCAATTGACTAACATTCCTAGGGATACCTCGACGTCGGAACCACCGAAGTCACTGACGGCGCCATTAACCGCAGCTTATATGCCTACCTCAACAACCCCGCGGCAGAGAGGGCCAAGTACAGCGCCACCACTGACACGACACTGACCCTCCTTCGCTTCCAGCGCGCCTCCGATGGCAAGAACATGGGTGTACTCACTTGGTACCCAACCCATGGCACCTCGATCCTCCAGAACAGCACGCACGTAGCGGGCGACAATAAGGGTGTCGCGGCGTATCTTCTCGAGAAGGACCTCGCGAGTGACGCGAGCGCCGCACCAGGCTTCGTAGCCGGCTTCAGCCAGGCGAATGTGGGTGATACCACGCCCAATGTACTCGGCGCCTACTGCGATGACGGTTCCGGCCAGCAGTGTAGTCTGGAGAACAGCACCTGTGCCGACGGCAAGAGCCAGTCGTGCCATGGTAGAGGCCCCGCGTTCCAAAAGTTGGATCTGGGTATCTCGAGCTGCTACGAGATTGGACGTCGTCAATACGCCGGTGCCAAGTCTGTCTATGTAAGTGATCAGCCTGATGCGGGATCCAACATGGCTAATGCTCCTTGTTAGAATGCTCTTGCTACGACTTCCACTCCTGTCACTGGCACCAGCGTCAAGTCCTTCCACTTCTTCCAAGACATGTCGTACTTCAAATTTCCCCTCGCAGACGGCACCATCGGCCAAACCTGCCCTGCTGCGCTCGGCTACTCCTTCGCTGCGGGAACTTCGGACGGACCCGGCGCCTTCGACTTCACCCAGGCCGACTCTGGCACCCCCGATGCCAACCCTCTCTGGGCAGTCGTCTCCGGTCTTCTCAGAACACCCAGCGCTGAGCAGGCTGCGTGTCAACAACCGAAGCCCGTGTTGCTAGACGTTGGTGAGATGAGTACCCCGTATGCTTGGAGCCCCAATATTGTAGACATTCAGATGCTTCGTGTTGGACAGCTGGTCATCGTCGTTGCTCCCGGTGAGGCTACGACAATGAGTGGGCGGAGATGGAAGGCTGCTGTCAAGGAGGCTGCGAAGAGTATTATTCCTAATGATCCTGTTGTTGTCCTTGGTGGTCCCGCCAACACCTATGCCGTAAGTTTTGCAAGCTTCCTTCTCTTGATAGTCACTGACAGTTTCCAGCACTACATCGCGACCCCCGAAGAGTACGCCATCCAACGCTACGAGGGTGCGTCGACCCTCTTCGGACCCAATACTCTTCCAGCCTACATCAACCTTACCGTCTCCAACATCGCCTACCTCTCCCCCTCTTCCACGTCCACACCCGCAGCGGGTCCTTCGCCTCCAGACAACCGAGCCAACTCCCTCTCCTTTATTACTGGCGTTGTCGTAGACGGTGCGCCAGCAGGCCGCTCCTTCGGACAGGCCATCGGACAACCGTCGGCGTCGTATACTCGCGGTGCGGTAGTCAATGCCACGTTCCAAGCCGCGAACCCGCGGAATAACCTTAGGCTCGAGGGCACGTACGCCGCGGTCGAGCAGCTACAGAGCGGAAAATGGGTGCAGATCAGGACCGACGCGGATTGGTTCCTTGTGTACACTTGGACGAGAACGAATTTCTTGCTCGGGTATAGCGAGGTTGTGATTAGTTGGGAGACTGGGACGAGTGACGGGGCTGGCCCGGGGACGTATCGCATCAAGTATTATGGTGACTCGAAGCCGTTGATTGGGAGCATCTCGGCTTTCGAGGGGACGAGTGGAAATTTCACGTTGGTTTAGGGGAGGGCCAGAAGGGTGGTGATGATTATGGATTATGACGGTTGGGTTTTCGTAGTGATGAATCGTAATGTCTTTTTCTCACGAATACCTACTGCCCTAGTTCTTCCAAAGTTGAAGCTGACTCTTTCCATCGCTCGTTGGTCAGCCAACCCATCTTGCACAATGAGGCAGTAACATCCGGGTACGTACTTCTTCATATATTCAGCAGGCGGCCTATCACCACTCAGCCTGCCTCCAGTTGGAACCACGAGGGCTCCTCAAGGATAGGTACATAAGCACCTCCCACCCCTTCGCCCGAAATCATTCAACGGGCTACACTCTCCATCAGCATCCACCTCCCAGCCTGATTGCAAGCGTGTTTCTGGTGAGTCCACTGCCAGTTTCATTTCCGTCCAAAGTGGACTAATGGCTGACCAGGTACTGGAGCATTTCAAATTCAAGCAGCCTAACATGGATTCCGAAGAGTCTGAAGGATCTTGCTCCTCGATAAACGGTAGCCTCTGTGACATGTGCTGGGACTTTATAGTGTTCGACGACAGCGACGACAAGTTCTACGAGGGCACGAACTGTAACGATGAGCCTCCCCTGCGGCATTCGGAAGCGCAGAGCGATACAATATTCTTGAGGCCCACTTTTTATTGGGAAGACACAATACCCGACTTGCCCCTGATGGCTGAATCCGCTGCTGATGGGTGCCGTATGTGTGGTTTTCTTCGGGAAGAGCTCATACGACAGAAAATATGTCACGTTGGCGACATTCGTATCGGTGCGGGATATCTGTTTGGAGGACAGGGATATGAGCTCGAGATCATCGACACAGATCCTGGCTTGGCCTTCTGGAGATGCGTTGTCTACGCGGTCAAAAGAACGACCAACAATCTTGACAAGGTACACCGAATTGCAAATCTTTATTTTGACATCGAGTCTAGCGACCGTAAGTTCTTCAACAATTTTTGCTTTGACTGGACTCTGAACTCCACGTGAAAGGTGATTTGCTCCAATGGCTGAGGGTGTATGCGAAGCCCGCCCCCGGACCATTGGACCCGGCCAGCGTTGAATGGCTCCAGTTACAGCTCCGAGAGTGCGACGATTTGTGTGACCATGGAAAGCCAGATACGCCATTCTTACCCACCAGACTGATACATGTCGGTCAGAACGAGGATGACGCACCTCGACTTGTCATCGTTGAAAACATGCTCGAATCTGATATGATCGATGCTCTCGACTATGCGACACTGAGCTATTGCTGGGGATCCAAAGAAGATGCTCTCAAGCAGACCAAAACCACAGAAGAAACCATCTTGACCCACTGTCAAGGGATACCTCTTGACTCCTTAAGTCCCGTCGTACGGGACACCATCAAGGTCTGCAGGGCGCTCGGTATATTCTACCTCTGGGTTGACGCTTTGTGTATCATTCAAGAAGACAATGTAGACTGGGACCGAGAGAGTCAAATGGTGGGACAGATCTACCATTCTTGTTATGTGACTATTTGCCCTCTCTCTTCACAGTCTTGTCTTGAAGGCTATCTCGGACCACGACCGCAGGGTCTTGAAGTTGAATTTCAATCATCACGCCATGAACATATCAGAGGTACCTACAGACTTATTCTTTCATCGACAAACATCGACGCAGACATATTGGAGGAGTTGGTAAGCAAAACACCAGTAGTTCATAAAGATCTTGAGCGATCCGCTTGGGATCGAAGGGGCTGGACCTTTCAAGAGAGTATTCTTTCACCCCGCATGATCCTGTTTGGGCCCAACATGGGCCATTTTATCTGCGAAATCCAATTAACGTCCGAGAACGGATACATCGACTTTAATAGGATCTATGGTGAACTACAAGTCATGATAAGGAGAGCTTTTGGAAAGCTTTCCAAGCAGCCGGAGCGCTCAGCGACTACCAAGATGGGTGTGTACGGCAATTGGCGTGCTGTTCACGAGGTCTCGAAAAGAGCCTGGACATATCCCGAGGACATACTCCCCGGACTTGCCGGTATCGCTCAGGCATTCGCAACACTTACGGGCGACACATATCTGGCAGGCTTGTGGAAAGACGATCTACATATCCAGCTGCTTTGGTACATTCCACGACCACCAGCGGGTGAATTAGCCTCAGTTGTGCACAGCTTGCAGCACACAGATCCGTACATCGCGCCATCATGGAGCTGGGCTTCACAAACAGCGTACCAGGAGGAGTTGACGGAAAGAGAAATTATTACAGAGGGAATCGAGGTGGAAAAAGGAAATTGGTCACGCTTTGAATCTTTCAAGTCAATGCCTTGTCATAACAGGCTCGACTTTGCGTTGGTAGACTACCACATGGATCTCCGAGGTAGCAATCGCTTTGGGGCGCTTACTGGAGGCTTCCTTCGATTGAAAGGTAGAATATGCCCGTTTCCCTCAGACGTCAGAAGGGAGCTGAAGCCCCACAGTGACTGCCGCCCATTGTACGGTCAGTTTTCAGGCGGCGTTGGAACTTGCATGCTCGATTGGAACGTCAACGAAACCTCGGTACAAGCGCCGAAGAGTATGCGATTATTATTGGTATCGAGCTGCTGCTCGGCAACAGTGAGCTGGAAAAACCTGAAGCATAGGGCGAATTGTGACGACGAAGACTTTGACGATTGGGTGCCGAGTGATGCGGAAGTTGGCGGCATGTCATTTCCGGACGGTAACGAGACCATTGAGACATGCCGATACTGTGCGAATCCGACGCACAAGCGTACTGGATATGGCCTTGTGATTCATCCTGCGGAAGAGCCTGGATCCTATGTGAGGGTTGGAGTCTTTGTGATGTTTGCACATAAAGGGGGCATGGATCTCTTCAAGGATGAGGCGGAGGAGATAAAACTCATCCAGTTTGACTCCTATCTTTATATACTTTCGAACATGCTGTCAAGATATCCTTCAGACTGGTAGATCTTTCTTTGATATGAGGATGTCATTGTCAGATTCTCAGGGCAAGAGCCTGGCTTCGTTACGGGAAGATCGTTTGATCTTAGTACTTTCTCGAAAGACACCGATGAGGTGATGTCAAGGTCTGCGCGATCCTTGGCTCTTATCGGGATATCTAGATACCTTAGCTTACTCTATCTTCCTTGCCACAAAACCGGTGTCACTGAGATTATTGGGTAATTGAGTTAGTAGTCACCCACAGGCTAAATATCAATATTGATGAACCAAGATCATGTAATCCCTTTGGCGCTCAACTCATGTGTCACCAAGCCATTCTGGGGAACTTGAGCGATTGACGAATTTATTGAATGCTGAGCAATGCGACATAGCTACTATAAGAGTCCTGGAACTCTGTGTTTGTGAAAGAACTCCCAGCTCTCTATATGTCTTTGGCACTCACATGCATCCTTTCCTCACTTTTCTCTCTTTCCCTTTTTGCCCTTTCCTCCATCTCACCTCTTGAGTACTCGTACAAACAATCCTGCGAGCCACCAAGAGAAACATAGCCTGGGGCCAGAGCGAGCATACTGGGTCTTGGAAGTTGCGAGTGGCCGCAGGGCTTCCTAAGTTAGCACGCTTCCCTACCTCATGGATCGCGCGGCATGCTGGCATTCCAAACAGAGTCAACTCTACTCAGCTTCTCACAGCCTGCCTAACTAGCGTCCTTGTGCCGCCAGCCCTGTCTTACCTGGAAGATGCTTGCTTCTTGAGAGAAAATACGCTGAGGTATCGGCGGCGAAGACCGAGATCGGCAATTATGCTACAAAAAGGGGGCTTCGGGGCCCGGTCAAAGTCGATTGCACGCGTGCTTTCCAACGTTGCAACGCGAGAACCCACTCCTCCTCCTCCTACCTGGTCCCTTGCTCAGCACGTCACATACGGATAGACTAGAAGAGAGCTAGAAAGAAGTTCCTACACTACGAAAGCTTAACGTTCTCAATTACTGAAAACAACAGTCGTCGCTATTTCATTTGTCGGCGGCAGGCAGACTCATCATCGAAGAGTGGCTTATCTTTGTCTTGCACTTCAGCCGTACTGAGGCAGTTGCCTCAGATGGAGTTAGCTGTCTCTAGAAGGGGCTGAGGGTTGAGACAATCTGCAGGCTTTGGGAAAAAGCCCCGCGCTTCGTGGAAATTGACCACCGATAGGACCACCGACGGTTTGCCTGGTGAGTGACGCCTAAGACAGAGCCAATTCTGGACCATCAACTAGGTAATGGAATGGACCATGGAGGATGCATGCTGTTCCTCGTTGATGAACACCATGGGTGCGGATACCTAACAGCGTGTGAGCAGATTCACAAGCACGCTATACACGTGGCGTCGAGAGCGTCAATACCCTGGCCGATTGAAGGCGGGAATATCTGCCCCCCTTGCCGTAGGGAGCAATGGGCGACCATGTTTCAGTCACGATGCTGATGAAGAGCAACTCCTCTTTGAGAAGTTACTTATGACCTGAAAGCCCCCAGTGAATTTGCTCCTGGTTTAATGCTTCTTCTCCCCTTTTGACGCTCTCCGCGGAGTAGATGTCGAGTTCACTGCCCCGAAACCCAGCCCCTGTCCAATTTCTACTTGTAACCAAGGTTCAAACCTTATTCCTGCTGACAGGTCCCCCCCAGCAATAAGCCAGGCCGCCGCCGAACGAACGGAAACATGCGGGCCTCCTTCGAGCAAAATGCCTATCGATACCTGATCTGCAGTCTGCTTCTGCTGCTCAGCGGCTTCCGCCAAGCGCACGCTACGTATTACCTCAACCAGGCCGACGGGTACGATTCACTGCCGTCATGTGCCGAGCCGCCCATCAGTTCCATTGTGCGGGACATGGTGGCGGGGTGCGGTGATGGCGGGAAGACGACGTCGTATAGCTGCTTCTGCACGGCGAGTTCCGACAGGTTTAGGGAGATTATTGCGACGTCGGTTGCGAAGAATTGCGGACGGTCTGGGGTCGAGGTTGAGAGCGCGACGAGCGTGTTTGACGCGTATTGTCAGATGGAAAAGACTGACAAAGTCACTACTTGTGAGTGCTGCCCTGATTCGATCATCGATTTGGTGTGACTCCATGCTGATGTGAAGATATTCAAGCTGCAACTGAAGTGACCTCAACATCTGCAACTGCGACCTCGGCGGTGGACACCGCGTCTGCTTCACCAGTTAGCTCTGGTGGCCTCACGAGTGTTGCGTCACCGACGTCGTCTTCATCACCGGCTACCTCAAACTCCACCAACTCTGGCATATCCACCGGTGCGATTGTTGCCGTGAGCGCTTGTACTTCTCTCGTGGCTATTGCCCTGTGTGCTGCAGCCTTCTTCTTGTGGCGCCGGCGACAGAAGCGCTTGCGACCTGGCCGGGATGCGCATGGCCCTGTTTACGAAGTCAATCATCCGGGCGAATTGGATGGGAGTCAAGAAGCATCTCATGGCGCGGGGGAGTACTATGCCAAGCCGGAGTTGGAAGCCAGGAGCGCTGTGAGGGAGATGCATATTGAGCCAAAAGCTAGGAGGCATCAGTTGGCTGAGCTACAGTGATGTGCGTGTTGATGTCTGGAGCTTGAGTGAGTAAATGGTCACCAACGCAACTCCACCTGATTATTTCTAAGTATACCCGAGTAGACTCGAGCAAAAGTCACTCACATGGTATTGTAAAATTCACTTGGTGCATTGAACTTGACCTGGTAGACTTGTGGCCGAATTCACACAAGGGCGCTTTGAAGACATTATTACATTATTAGACAAGCTACTCTACAATTACTTTAACGTGATTAGACAGCGAATCCACCAGAGTTCTTCTGTCTCGGCTCGCCAGCTGCCTCGAACGTGCCGTTCGGCAGCAGCCTCACACCCTGCGCTGTGCTACCGCCGGGTGCAGCCCAGGTGACATTCGTGCCCAAGCTCGCAAGGTAGCTCGTGGTGCTGTTGTCGTAAGCGTACTCGAAAGCAGCCGTGTTGGGGGTCAGCTGGTCGTGGAAGCGAGGCTCGGCGAGGGCTTGCGACACGGTCAGGTTCCTGTCGAGAACGTTGTGGATGTTCTGGATAGTGGCGGTGATGATGCGGCTGCCGCCGGCCGAGCCGATAACGAAGTAGAGCTTGCCGTCGGGGTGCTCGACAATGACGGGGGAGATGGAGGAGAGGGGACGCTTGCCGGGACGGACGTAGTTGGCCGGGCTGGGGACGAAGCCGAAGGCGTTGCTGGAGCCGGGAATACTGAAGTCGTTCATCTCGTCGTTCATGATGACGCCCGTCTCGGGGACCATGAGCTGGGAGCCGAAGAGGAGGTTTACAGTCGTGGTGAGGGAGATGGCCATGCCGCTGGCGTCGGCGACGGCGATGTGCGAGGTTCCCGGGGTCTCGAGGGACTCAATGCCCTCTGGGTTGTAGTAGGACACGTTATATGTGCGGAAGTCGGAGATCTTGGAGCGGATTTCGGCGCCGACCTCGGGGGAGATCATGCTCTTGGTGTAGGCCGAGAGACCGTCGACAAAGGACGGGTCGCCGAGCTCGGTGCGCTGGCCGTAGGCGAAGCGCATGGACTCGTCCAGTCTGTGGACGGTGTTGTTCCGCGAGGCCGGGTCGCCGAACCCTTCGTATCCGCTGACGATGTTGAGAGCGCTGAGGGCGACGATGCCGCCGGAGGGGGCATTGCAGGCCGTGAGCTTGTAGCCCCTGTACGAGATCTGCGCGGGCTCTCTGATGGCGACGGTGTAGTTCTTGAGGTCGGCCATGGTCATGGTGCCGTTGGACTTTGACAATGCGGCAATGGTCGCGTTGGCGATGGCACCGGTGTAGAAGGCGTTGACGCCCTCCTTTGCGATGACCTCAAGCGTGTCGGCGTAGCGCTTGCGCGTGATCGTCTCATTGAGCTTGAGGAGGGTGCCGTGCGGCGCAAAGTCGATGGCCCATGACGGATCATCGGTCAGGAAGTTGCCATTGGGGGTGACTGACTTCATGTATCTGACCAAGTCCTCGTTGACGCGCCAGCCATAGCGGGCGACCTTGACCGCAGGCTCGACTACCTTTGACCAAGGCAGCTTGCCGTACTTCTTGTGCAAATGCTCCAGGCCGCGGAGCTCACCAGGGACACCGCTGAGAAAATCGCCAGGTCAGTCTTGGTGTCGCTTGTTTGCCCTGTCGCAGAGATTCAGCTTACCTAGCGAGACCTCCGTACAAGCTGGCTCTCGTGTTGTTCGTGTACATGTTCTCGTAGGCGGCGGCCGGGGCCGTCTCTCTGAAGTCAATGAACTCGTAGGTGCCATTGCTCGACCTCACGAGCATGAAACCGCCGCCGCCGATGCCGCTGTGGTACATGCCAACGACACCGACACAGAGGACGGTGCCGACCGTCGCGTCGGCAGCATTTCCGCCCTTCTTGAGGAGCTCGGTACCGATCTTGCTGCAGATGTCGGACTCTGAGGCGACGGCACCCAGCTTCGGGGTCGTGCTGTGGCTCGGGGCCGCGAGGGTGGACTGGATGGTGATGCCGAGCAGGAGCTGCGCGAGGGCAGCGGAAGTCAGGGAGAACTTCATGATGAGCCGACAGGGATTTCAAACAAGCTTCGCAAGGTGTCTCGTCTAATTCACAGCTCGTCGAGAAGGAACAGCACGGTGTGACTAGAGGTCCTAAGGGAAAGCAAGCAGCAGTATTGGGACCAAGAACGGCCTGGCAGAACCGAGAGAAACAGGAAACCATCAAGGTAGCCACGAGAAGAAGCTGCCAACGTTTAATATGAACGGAAAACTTCACGCTCTATGGCGCAATCGAGCAGACTCGCCGACTTCGCCCACAAACCAAGGAGGTTATGGACCCGACAGGTTGGGGGGAACGTGGAAAAGGCTCATGGCTTCATTTCGGTAGCCTGCAGATCACCAACGGCAGCCGCTGTACCCTATCGCAATCGTTGGTAATGTCAGATGTGCCCCGTTTCCGTAGATAGGGAAAACCCGATTGCGGAATTGAAAGATGCTGTGTCAAATCGTCCCACGTTCTATCTAGCTTCCCCGCGTGTGTGCCTGTCCGCCTCGCCGTTCAGCAGCAGGGCCCGGCCCGGTTCGTGACGTCGAGCTTCAAAGTTCGGTGAGCTACCAAGGTGTTACTGCAAAGCATCAGCGACCTCTGGAGTCCTGGACTCTGTACCTAGCCACTAGCGCGGGCAGTCTGCAGGAAACCTGCATGGAAGCCAACATGGAGCCAAGAAACAGCGAGTCAAGTGCGTGAGTGGCTGGGATTCGGCGTGCAAACAGTAAGTCAGAACTGTCAGTATCCGAGTCTTCATTGGTTATCTGAGGGGGAAGACCGAGAGAGGGAAATGTTTTGGAGAAATATCGAGCGAAATGCCGGGAGGAATCCACTCCGCAAACAATAGGGCGGGGTTCACCTGAGTTCTCCTGCCAATTCCGGATAGCTCACGGCAACCCCGGTATCGCCGGGAGGAGGCATCCCAGTTCACCGTGGGTCGGATGGGACAGGTACGCGGCGCGCCAAGATAACGAAGCTTACAGTTTATCATTGCTTGAGCTGTCAAGTTGTTGGTTGCACGCGCGGTTCCATAGATAAACTTATTACTATATTTCGATTGTTGTCATTTCATGTACTCTAGTATCTATAACTGCACTTATCTATGTGCTCCTCATACGATGATGGAACCAATGACTTCGCTATACTCAACTCTCTAGCAAATGCCAATCTTGAGTAGCAGGCTAACAAACAATTCAACACCCCATTAACCTCACAGCTGAAGCTTTTGAGATTGAGTCTGAATGTTTTCATCACTTTCGCAGTAATATAAGCTAGATTTAACTTAATCTGAACCATGATTTACCGCCATTACTGTTTGCAATCGCGATACACAGGTGAACGGACTCCACACAAGTTCCGAGAAACCCGCATTTGAAGTTTACCAAGAATCTAGTAACCATCAGCCGCACGTGTGTAACGAAACTACGCGGCCGCAATTGTAAAATTGTCTCTAAATATCTTGGTAGAGTAGGTCGCTCTGCAAACAAATCTTAGTGACATGCTCCTCTGACTGATCGAACGACCCAGTGCGCCCTCATCCTACGAGCTGCCTCACATCCCAGCACTCTGTGGTTCTACCACCCAATACCACCGGTGATCACAAGCTTTCCGAACTTGGGATGATGACGGGGCAATTATGCTCACCCAAATGAAGACAATGTCCGCTGAATATGACCTAAAGGAGGCCCCGCATTGCCCTAAATAAGTATTTTGGGAAACTTGAAGAGATTCTGACTTAAGTATGACGATTAGATGTTTTTAGAAACAGTACATGGCTAAACGAGACCAATTATTCACTCTGCAGGAAGGGCATGATTGTGGGGGGAGTTAAGGTTAGGTCCGCATATTAACTGTCTCCCAGCGGACCCATTTGAAAGCTGTTGGCTAGCACGTCAAACCAGGATGAGGTCGCGTAAGAGAAGATACAGGTATTGCTTCGCTTAAAGCTCTCAAGTCAGAATAGAACAATATCGAGTTGATTGTTTGAGAAGAGTCTTTGGTAAAGATTACGTATCGGAATCGGAGAAGCCCGTCGTTGAAGCTGTGCTTCCTGGCCAGACTTGCAGATCCTGATCATTTTGCCTTCGCGCATTCATAAACTTCTCAGTATGGGACCCGAGATCTTTAGGGTGCTCTTGGGGTCTCCCTGAGATTTGAACTCAAGCCAGTCTTTGGACGAAAATCGACTCTCCTCTATCCCAGGTACCGAAGCAGTGGGTGACGTCGAAGTTGAAACTTGTTGAGAAGCAGAGCGGTTTTCGAGTTGGTTTTGACATTGACAATTTCTCGGTACTTAGTAGTTAAGTTTGTCGGGAGTATTTACTAGTACTAACAGTGACAAAGATATAACTAGACGAGACGAACCTGATTGTCATTGAACCAGGATATCCTACATCAAAGGAGCACACTGCAGGTGACTGGCTTACGGCTACAATCATGAGTCAGCAATTCTTACACAAAACTATACAGGCACTCTAATATCTTTACAACTTAGACCGACGTATGCCACGGAGATATTGCAGCGAATCTAGGTAAGTTGACTCGAGAGCTATCAGGAACTTCGACGTATACCAGTAATTACTATATTTCAAGATAAACTGCAGTGGACAACCCATATAATTTGAAGGTCCTTCGTTTGGATATCTACATATCTCGGAAACAATTATGTGTGCTCCGTTGAGTTCATTCCAAAAGCTAGTTGAACGACTAAATATATTCAATGTTGAATTACATCACCAGTCCTAGCCTCAAGCCATGGCTGAAGGCCCAAACACATTCTCAAGCCTTGACACACTCGACAACTTGTAATTTCTTATCCATACCATGCACCTTTACCATTCTCAGTCCCGCACGGGTGATGACGTCATTAAAAGCAGTGGCCGTTCTCTCCTTGCCAGCAATATTCAACATCGTAAAGTCTAGCATGCATTCTGAAATCGGAGGCGGATTAGGTATGACGTTGTCGGCAATGAGAAGCCTGCTATCGGATGCTATGGCCTCAGCGATGTGTATTAGTATGTTGACACAAGTCTCATCGCCATAATTATGTAGGCATCGACGTATCCAATAAACCAGAGCGTCTGTGAGAAGCCATGAGTCAAGGTTTCTGTGAGTTTGGACAGGATAATGAAGTACTGACGCTTGATAGGCTGCCTCGTATGAAAATCGTGGATTTGTAACTTGGCATCTTTCAGCCACGGATCATTCATTGCGGCTACATGATTAAGCACATCCTCTCTATCCTCGAGAACGACGCGTTCCGTTGGGATGAATGAGTTTTCCTGCAATATGGCCTTGGTGACGTGGCCATTTCCGGCGCCAACGTCCACAAGTACTGCCCGTTACTCGTCCATGTTTCGGATTTTCTCCTTGATCCAACTGAAGTTGTACGAGCCGGTGAAAGGGGCCGCATATTGTGCCATTTGCATGGCTTTCTGGAATTGGTCCCTTCTCTTTGGTTCTTGGTAGTAAACTTCGTACGGCGTCATCTCTGGCTGGCCAAATCCAAAGGCCAGTGGTGTTCGGATCTCAGAATCTGGCTCTCGGCGGCCGTACTTCGCGAAGTATTCCGGCATTTTCACGGAAGGCACAATAGTTCCCTCATACCTAGACCCCTTTTAGCACTGAAAGAACATGACTCAGATAAGGTCTACGTGAGTTCTTACCAGAAACTAAACACGACTGTATCCGGCAAGCCTGGAAGATAGCGTTTGGAGATCTCGGTATGTGCCAACTCCTCTTCACCTACTTGTATCAGTACTCCACGCGCAATCAGATGCCATGCAATCCGTTCTTCAATGTAATTAGCTTCGGTATGCCGCGCAAAACGGAGCTCTTGGTTTTCACTTACGAACCAAAGACTTGTCAGCGCTGAGCTTCTTGGAAAGTTCTTATACGAGATAGTTCCACTTGGAGGAATTGCTTCAAACGCGTTCCAATCAATAAAAAGCTTCATGGCAACGAACTCGCCGAAGCCATTGACCCTTGTAGTCCAGTCGGGCATATCAGGCCGGGCAGCAGCGATGACCCGTTCCGTAATTTGTGTAATCTTTTCATTCATCTCAGATTGCTTTAATGGGGATTCAATGAGAGCAGAAAGCTTTCCGACAAGGTCGTAAAGCAGCTCAGTGATGGAAGACATCTCTGGAATGTTGATATTCTAAAAGTGAGCAATAGGGTAGCGATCCTAGGTAGCAGGTCTTACGGCTCATACTGCTGAGTGCGCACTGGCTTTATACAACCCAAGTGAGTTGATATAGAGTTCTCTGCATCTTATGAATCAAACAAAATGATGGTGTGTGGCTCCCGCGTCTTCGTGCTTCTCGCGTTTACGAGAGGAAGCCCCCGGCGAGTCCGAAACCGATGGGGCGCAACAGATGAACTCAGTATAACACGAAGTGGGTGTCCATACTGAAGTGCATATCTCCGAACCAAGTCAGGATCTCATTGCCGGGTTCATGGGCGTTCGATATCGAGAGCAGCATCACAGCGATGATGGGGGCGTACGTTCTTCTCTCGATATGTGGTCTCGATAGTGTAGAAGTTCATAACTTCCGTGGCAACTTACAGAACTGTCCCTTCGTACTTCCTCATACGCCGCAATCTAAAATCACACGCTTTACTTCTATTACGAATACACTATAATTAGAGTCATGATGAATGATCAACCGGAAGAAATCAATCATGTAGAGGACTTGAAAATACTATGCACGTCTGGTGTGACTCATGGTAACGGTGAAGCACGCTTGTAATATGTCATGTCAGTGATCCCGCCACATTTGCGACTTTGACGATCTGAACATGAGTGATGAAGTAGCATAATTGGCTTGTTCAATCTCTATTCTCAATGCCTCAACTGCGAAGGTATCCATAAGTTACTATACAGAAACGAACACAATGATCACCCAAAATTCCACTCACCACTGCATCGGAGGTTGATGGGAGTTTAGAAAGGGGATTGCGTATGCCAAGCTCGGATATTGAATCAGACGAAGTATAACCCAATGTTGTTTCTCATGGACCCCGCGGATTTGCCAGGAACGGTCTCTTTAGTGAGACGTCAACATGAGCCTCTGCTCATGGTTGTATAAGCTGAAACAGTATATGTGCTGTAATACTGCAGGAGATGCTCGAAGTAGAGCGTTCAATGCGTGAAAGATCAGGTCAGATCAATGGGCCGAGTACCCCCCATCGACGCAAATGGTTTGCCCTGTGACAGTAGCACTCGCATCACTCGCCAACCATATGGCAACTCCGGCAAAGTCCTCGGCCTTGCCATTACGCCCAGTCATTGTCCGCGCCGCATGTGTCTCCGCCTTCTCCGTATCCGAAAAGACCTCTTCCGTCATCGGAGTGTCCACAAGTCCCGGCGCAATGGCGTTGCATAGAACCCCGCTCGGTGACCAGGCCTCGGCTTGAGAGCGCGTAAGCGACACCAAACCGCCTTTTGCTACACCATAAGCACCGCTGTTACCAAATGCGCGGAATGACTGCTGGCTGGCAAGATTGATAATGCGTCCGCTTCCGCGCTCTGCCATTCCCGGGCCGAATGCTTGGCCTAAGGCAAACGGGGCAGTTAGGTTCGCGGCGATGGTGTAGTCCCAGTCTCCTTGTGTTATTCGTGACAATGGCGGGCGGTTGTTGACGCCTGCTGCGTTGACGAGGATGTCTGGTATGCCGTGCGCGGACTTGATGCGAGCGCTGGCGTGGTTGAGGTCTGCTAGGTTGGCGAGGTCTGCCGTGATGGACGTCGCGGGGACACCAAGTTGTGTGAGCTGATCGACTGTCGCTGCTAGAGGTTGTGATTTCCGTGCAATGAGTATGATTTTTGCGCCGGCTTGACCTAAGGCGAGGGCAATTTCTTTTCCGATTCCTGAGCTACCACCAGTGACAACTGCTGTTCTGCCCGCCAGACTGAAGAGGCGGGTGAGGTAGGTCGGCAGAGTGCTGAGATTTCTCGCCATTGTCCAGAGTGTTCTGATCTTACCTGTTCAGTAAGAAAAGAAACCAAAATGACAGGAATCAATATGAAAGATGTAAGAGTTATCGACTTTATGTGACAGTAAGTACGGTAGAAGGTCGGCCTTTACTGTGAGTCGAGGTGGATGTACATGGCGTATTCTTGAAGTGTGACTCTAAGTCAAGTGTGTGTGTGACTAACCGACCCTTGTAAGTCAATTCTGGGGTTAGTGCTTCGAGGCGAGAGATTTCACATGCAGCTACCGGCGTTCATAATACACTTAGAGTGAACTAGGACGCCTGCAACACCCGATACTCCAACTTTTCTAGGTGGAAAATATTGTACGTGACGGACATCAGTTCGGGAGACGATGAACAGCACCAGTTTTTACTACTCAAGCCCTTGACTGGCGAGGTTGGCTTGCATGCACAGGTGAGTTTGGCTGCCAATTGCAAATCAGGCCCAATGCACGGTGGAGGCTGGGAACAGCATGCACGAATGGTATGTAGCAGCAAATGAGAAGGGTAACTGCATCATTGGATAAAGTCGAAGTCTCTAACCCGCCGAACAGGCATCTGTATGTTTGGTTTATTTTCAAAATGCGACATAATCCTCCAAGCGCAGAAGTAAGCGCTTCTTAAGATGTTTATGAGAAGCTCCGGAAGATCGTGACTTAGCGCTAGGCTAGTTCAGGTGACGGTGTCAAGCGCAGTGGCACCTGTCAAGCTAACTCCGATGCTGGCCCCAGATGCGGGGGTTAGCTCAATTGCATTCGTGTGTGGCATTCCGGGACCTCTATGATCAGTTGAAACTCCAGATGTTGACTTCAACCTGTGTATGAGAAATTGGGAACCTTACCACCTTAAACGCCCGGAGAGACTTGAGGGAGACCGCCGCAGAGAAGTATGAAAAGCTATCCGGGGTCTTGCCAGAAGGTCGCTCGAAGATGAAGTAAAGGGGAAGGCTGCCTTTGAGTAGCTAGCTGAATACATACGTCTACGTGATGGCACATAACATACTTGAACGAGGAGTTCCACAAGCGCGTATAAGATCATGTTGTGATTGTGTGGGATTTCCTTATTGGACCTATCGTACTGGATGTTATTATCCAACACTACTACAATGTCATGCCCTCGAAGCATTCATCTCTCATTAATCGTCTAATCGTCAAGCATTCCCGACACTTTCCATAGAGCCACATACTACCCAGTGCCCTGAGACTAGAACGGCGGCAGACAGTTCAATGCAATGAACTGGTTCTTGGGACTGGCATAGAAATGGAACGCAAACAGCCACAAGTATCCGATCGACTTCCCAAATCTTCCACTCATCTTATGATAGAACCGAGGGAAGTAAGTCTGAAGGCCATAGAGAAAGGCCGTTTCCATGATCATCGCGATGTAGTTCAACATCCACCACAAGACCTCCACACCAACGTGGCACTTGATTCCGCAGATATACTCAGTGCCAGCATGGAAGATACCACTAAGGAAGAAGATGAGTCCATTCAGGACCCAGCGAGTCTTTCCCCGGAAAGGTCGCTGACCTACGCCAAGGGTAGTCAAGATCATCTCGCCCAATCCGTTAGTGGTGCGGTAGATGAGTCGATCGAAGTATTTGCTCCAAAAGCGCCGGAGATTCCAGCCTTCGCGGATATCGCCGAAGACCGGAGGCCACTCTTCGGGTTCATCAATGTGAAGCGCTACGAAGAAAAGGGCGACGGTTGAGTGGATGAAGGTGTACCAGTAGAAAGCGCCCCAAACGCCCTCGAAGGCGAAGTAGCAGCGGATAACCACCTCCCGTAGGTCGGTCTCATTTCGAAGGAGACGGCGGAAGTAAGAACGTTTGTGGGGGGCAATGTCTTCATGGGAATACCAGGCGTACGTGTCCCAAACGTAGTCCTTGACACGTTCCAAGATGAAGATGAGAGTGATCTTGGCTATCGTAGCCATGATCCAGCGGTTTCTTGGACTGAGAGAGTTCCAAAAGCGAGCAAAGAGCTGGCTGGTTTTGTTCCAAGCGTTATGGCTGACTCGAAGTACAAAGTAACGGGAACTATTGATCCGTTCGAGCACACTTTTGTTGTTGTTTGCCTCAGCCGAGCTCTGATCCAAGTTTTCATTGTTGATGGTGGCTTTCTCGGCGGATGTCTCTTCGATCGTAGCTGTGATGGATGCTTCTGCGAGCTGCCTCTTGCGCTCTTCGTCTGCCATGATCAAGTGGAGGACAGGAGCCGGACGACTGGTGTTGACAAAGCGTGCGTTCCACATGAGTTTATAGGTGGCGAGGATGCGTTGTCCCCAAGGAAGTTTCTTTTGCTCTTGAGTAACGGCGATATCTTCCCATAGCATCATAACAGCTGCACCCATGTTTTGAATGACGAGTACCTGAACAAGGGTGATCTTGACAGCGTAGAAGATTGGTAGGTTGGAGACTTGTTGAATGATAGCGGCTGCCAAGGCGAGGGATGCACCGACGAAGGCTGTGCGATATCGGCCATTGGAGTTGAAGGCGATTGCGAGAGAAGCCAAGTTAAGAATGTAGATCAGAGCTGGGTAGAAGAGTATGTCTGTCTGAATCAGATATCTCTGTGACCGGATATGGTCGAGAAAGTGGTTGGCCAATGATTCCCATATTCCAATGGGCTCGCCGTAGATGTGATCCCAGTCTGAATCTGTCCAATTCCATTCGGGGCCAGTGTAGTTCCATAGGTTTGCCTGTTCCTCAATAGTAGGCGGCATGATATCCATCTTCGGAATAGAAGCTATAGTTGAATTGATATCCATGGCGAGATTATCGTCCAGGGGTTTCCAAAAACAATGGCAGAAATGTGCTTCAAGTCTGTTACTTGCAGGCAGACTTGCGTGGCTCAAACGGATATCTCAGGGCATGGAAATGTGAATGGAGGATGGGTTGAGCATTGATGTGCGACTAATAGAGGATGGGAGAGCGCTTCTTATAGGGTCAGAAACCTGGACCTCTTCCTTGGAATGCAAGAGAGTTTGGCCGTTAGACGGCGCACAAGTGTACCTTACCTTACTGGCTGGTAGACTTCAAACCTTCAGTCTACATGTATGGCTTCATCCTGACCGGGAGTTTTAACTGGAGAACAATCGGATGGGTATGGATTCAAGGGTAGCTCCGATAGGATCGAACAGACTCAAAACACCTTTCAGTGATGCACCTATCTCCTATAGTTTCTCGGTTTCCTAGACACACAGGCGACTTTTGGGCGATAATAGGCGAAGCACTGAGAGCGGTTGGAGGGATCGGATCCATCGTCTCACTACTTACTTGCCACAGTAATAAATTGAAGTGTGCTACATTGTGTCTGAAGAAGGTAAGTAGAAATAAATACCGATAGACATTCGAGCATATGCTGCTTGCTTTCTCCCCCGGATTATCAAACCACCCGGCACAGTCTTCCATTCTCGTGGGGGAGCTTATTTTCGGTGACAACTTCCCAGAACTCACTACCGACAGCAGTCGCAGCATAGAAAACATCCTCAGGGTCCCATTTACGTTTCAGCTCCAGCAACCGAGGGTATTTGCTGTCGCCATAGAACGACTGTTGGAAATTCGGCTCCATCCTGTCCGACTCAGCAAGGTATGAGCCAGCACCTGGAGAGACATCTCTCCACCGCTGCATATCTCCGAAAGTGAAACCTTTGCGGGCTTCTAAAATTTCCTCCGCGGTGGCATTTATGGACCACCTGACGGACTGGAGAGCGAACAAGATATTCTCGCGCCAGGCTGGGTTGACAGCGTTGTCTGGGTCATCGGGACTGATGGCCTTGATGTTGAATCCAACAAAGACGTGATTAGTCTCGAGGGATGTGCGGATAGCTTCAAAAGTGGCCTGCTTCAGCTCTTCGCTTTCGAAATTCTTGCGGGGAAAGAGACGCGAACCGCTTTGAACGTTTACCTTCTCGACTACCTCGAGCGGGAAAAAGTCTTTCCAGGCAGGATAGAAGCTTTGGTATTCTGTGATATTGGGGTCGAACCTAATCCCGAGATCGTTGAGCTTGGTGAACCATGGGTCTAGCAAACTGGTCACTTCCTTTGCTGTCTTGTTGGGTGCGAAGAAGGGCGTCATCTGGAAGAGAAAATTCCCAGGGCTTGGGTTGTTGTGCAACAAGAGGAAGTACGAGTACGTGCCATTGTCGGCGTTGTGAATAAAAGAGTCGAAGTAGCTGCGTACACCACTCCAAAAAGTCTCGTTGGACAGACCGTCCGCCGTAGAGAATTTGAACGCCGAGGCAGTTGTGGGAACGTCTGGAAAGGCCTTGACTGTGACCGAGATTGCTACAGCAAAGGTCGAGCCACCACCACCTCGAAGCGCCCAAAATAGATCAGGATTTTGGCTGTGGTCTGCAGTCACAAGGTCTCCGTCCGCTGTCACAACCTCGAAGGCCAGGGCTTGGTCTGCCCCAGTACCATATATCGAACTCAGGGGAGAATGGCCTCCACCCTGTATGTACCCTCCCATCACCCCAACAGTCTAGGAAAAGTTAGTTCCAATATCGTTCAGTACTATCTTGGTCAACGCACCTGTCCTTCGCCACCAACAACAACTCTACCGTATTCAGACGCCACCTTGTATATCTCAAAAGCTTGAACACCGGTGCCACATTTGAAAGCAGGACCAGAGTATCCCTCTGTATCGTCGGTAATATTCTCGATGAATTCAATGCTTTTCAGGTGATGTGTCCATATACTCAATGACTCTCCACCACCCGATTTGCCTGAGAAGTCATGTCCTGTATTCTTGACTACCAGTCTCACACCCGTCTCTTTGGCAAACTTAACGCCTTCTTGTACGTGCTTGGCAGAAGTGGCATTAATCACGTACCACGGGAATCCACCCATGGTACAGTTGCCAGAGTCGTAAATGTTGGGTGGCAAACACGTGAGACCCTGATAGACGGGCGAGAACATTTCGATAGGGTCATCAAGGTGGGTGTAGGAGTTCGTCCACGTGGCCGTCATGCTGGCACAGGCGGCCTCATCGTACTCGGCGCCACTGTAGCATGCTGCTGCCTGCGGTCGTGGTTTAAGGAGGCGGTTTTCTACCCGTTCATTGAGAGCCGCCCAGGCTTTGTCAGAGGGCCAGGAGATGTCACCTGGATATACTTTGCAACGAGCCGGTGCGATGTCTGCTGAAGCCACCAGAGCGTACAAAAGTATCGCTGACAGTCGAGGAGCCATGGCTTAATTGCGCTGATAGAGCTGTCATGCATAAAAGTGTAGCAGGTGCCGGCCCCGAATCTTGGATGAAGATTCAGACACTATGCCGCGTTTTAAGATGGAAACTTCGTAATCAACCTTCTTTATAGATTTTGGGAATGAAAAGTGCGGGGAGGATTTCTTTTTTAGCGTTGCAGTGAGAATGGCGAGCCCTCGTCTTCGTTCCCCTGTCATGTTAAGCCAAGATGACGATCTTCACTAGAAACAGAGGAGATTTCCGTAGCATGTCAGCGTCGTACCGAATTTCCACGCTATTGACCAGCGTCAACTTGAATTCGTATCTGAGTCTGGACTCGTCCATGCTGAAACCTCCAGGATACTCCACGTCGGCAATTGATACAACGGTTCACATGGAGACTTCGCAAGTCGCGGGCATCCAGGCTTACTCACATCATATTGCCTAAGTAAGAATCGTTATACGGTTCAGTTCTCTTGTGCTTGAGATACCTAGAAATAGAGGGGGGAATCACACGAATTGCGAAAGACTTCATTTCATATCAATTTTTTGAATCTACCCTGACACCGATAGACTGTCCAAACTCGAGGAAAGGATTACTGCATTTGCTGCGTGGTGGTCGTCTGATCTGAATCATCTTGCTTCGCAGTCATTAAAAGCTGGAAATCCATTGCGAAAGTTGGTACTAAGCCCCCTTTCCTCTTGTGAAACTGATAACTCAAAAGCTATGGCGTACATTCGGCATATGTTGTGGTTTTCGTAGGTATGTCCGACTTGGAGTGTATTGACAACTCCGTGTGTTTTCGTGTATGATCGCGTATGTTCGCTCGGCTCTTATTCTAGCTGAGATCATTTTGAACCATGAAGTTGACGCTGCACTCGTGAGATGCGGGGAAATCAAGCAGCCCGAGCAGCGCCGTTGAGATCTTGGCTCAGGTTTTGGCTGTTGTTTCCAACGGTACTATTTGGAACGTTGCCGAAGGATGATGAGGATCCATTCCCGTTGTCGATCTGGTTTTGGAATCCATCCCAGGGTTGAGCTGCTTGGTCCGCTATGTTGCTGGAATTTCCGGCCCTAGGTCCACTTCCGTGACCAGCAAATTGTTGATTCTGAATATCGTTCGAGGTTTGTGTCACTTGATTCCTCGGGATCCCTAACCAAAGAGTAACCTCCCTCATACAGACCGTTCCGTGGTTGCACATGAGTGACACCTTGCCTTGCATTTTCATGCATGTCGACATGACTACATTCCGTGTAAAGTCGTCTAGTTTTTGGACCTCTGGGTCCGTCAAGCCTGAGACATAGAGACCAATCTGTCCATGCATGGGGTTCAAACTCGGATCGAGATCGGTCGTGAATCCGCTAAAAGAGGCCTGTTTGAAGATGAATCGTTTTCGGATCAGGTTGGGTGGTTGCGGATTGCTGCCGGGCGAGACTACTTCGAAGAAGTGATCAGGGCGTGAAAGGTATCCCTGCAGAAAGACGGAGAATGTCTCCGTTTGAGGCGAGGCGACGGCCATGGTTTTTTTTTTTTTTTTTTTTTTGGGTAGCAAATGAGCAATAAAATCGGTCTTATTGGAGTGTTCAGATAGTATTTTCGGGGGTGCAAATGGTGAAAGAGATTAGATTGCGTCCGGCTAACGATTACAATTTATAGCACCCTAGCCGGAGGCTTTTGTCTGATGAGGGACGCGTTACATACCAAATAGCCTCGTCGCCTTATGTAGCAACTTCAAGTAGTGGCGGAGACAGAATCAGCGAATCGAATTCCTTACCAAGGCACTCTGTAACCTAGATCAAGACGATGGAAGCCAAAGCTGGCCACTCAGCGTCATGATATGTGACACGTTCAACGCATGCTTTAAGGTAGATAAGGTGGCTGAACTCGAAAAGTTAAACTGAGCCGCGAAGGTACCCTCAATTATGGTCAGACCACGGGTGTAGCAATTCTTAATAGTACATAGACGTGTGAGGGATCAATAGGGGGCTTGCTCCAGCAGCAGTTCAACACTGGAATGAAGAATTGTAAGACGTGCTGAAAGCCTGTGATATTTGGTGATGAAGCACGATCACGAATTCATGGCAGGAATCCGAGCCAATGTTGCTGAAGCTTGCCCTATATTACTCTCCCGTATGCGCGTAGCCACACCCGAGAGACGGATGCATCATGTAGCCGGTTCTGGTAAATAGAAACTTCCGTGAAATTATTTCTGGAAGCCACTTTCATGTCCTCAGCATGTAAACTTTCCATCTGAGAAGTAGTAACTGTGACTGTGTGTGCCGACATTGAGCGATCTTTGCTACTCATGACCTATCACTGCAGCATTCCGCCAGCAGGAGTACTCCCGGATCATCCTGATCTGTGATCACATAGGCGACCCGGCGGAATTTGGCATTATGTAGCAAGTCTAGGGACTTGCTTTTTTGAAGTACCTTGGGCGTTTCTTTCCTCTCGTTGGTGTGCCGAGTCCGCCGGTTTTCTTCCCAGAGGGCATTCATTCTTACTTCCAGTTGCATCTGTGCGTTTCAGGTTGGAGTATAGCGATACCCTGAGGAATTTCTGCATTTCACCTGTGGTAGGT